AGATTGGTTGTGGTCATTTATAACCAACCCCATTTAAGTGAAAACAAACATTTATAAACAATATTTGGGTGATATTATTTCCAAACTGCTTTCTGCTGATGGACTGCTGTCATGGGGATCCTAAGAAGACACAGAAATCCTGGCTGTAGTGGTCTGAAAGGCTGCCTTGTCCCAGCTGTTTTGAATGTTGGATTGCCTGGGACACTGCTTTAGGGGGTCTTGCTTGATCAAACCATGTTAGTCTGGAAGGAATCCACAGCTTTTCATTTTCTGTGGAAATAAAAATAGAAATCCTTTTCCCCAGTAACCTGTCCTTAGACTTAGATTTGGAAGTCAAAGCATTTTTTAAATATATAAATTGGATTAATCCAACAGCATTTCTTTTAACAGTTGTTATTGCCTCAGGAGTCAAACAATACAAAGACAACACAATAGCATACAGTATCCAGACTCTTTGTGCTTTCCATCTTCAGGTGGCTTTTTTATTGTTGTTTCTCTTACTTTTATTTTTTTATTTATTGAGACAGGGTTTCCCTGTGTAACTTTTATCTGTCCTGGAATTTACTCTGTACACTAGGGTCACTTAGAAATCACAGAGATCTGCTTGCCTCTGTCTCCCAAGTGCTGGAATTAAAGGTATGTGCCACCACACCCAGCTACTCTCTATCTTTCTATTTTTTTAAACCACTTTATCCTGTTTCTTTTTCTCTTCCAAGTTTACGTATATTTTTAAACACATTGTAAACCTTTAGAGGTTTTTCTTTATCTGAATCTGTCTTTACTGTAAAACTTTATCTTTTTCTGGCCACGAGTCTTTTATCTGGTAAACAACAACATTGCTAGAATGAAAGCCACAGCTGTACTAGCTTTGGTCTATCCAAGATGGTGGTGGTACATTTAGCACCATCACTGAGAGCTGTGCTCACCGTCTTGATCTAAACTACCATCCAGCAGCATGCTACCACTTGGAGATATGGTCACTGCCACTGCCAGCTCTTGAACACACCATTAAGTTGTTAGCAGGGTTTGCTGCTTAATGCTGAGTCAGGAAACCTCCCTTAAAGGAGCTGTGCAAATCTCTGCTTGTCTCTAGCAAAACAGAGCCCAATTGAGAAAAAATGCTGCTACCAAGAAGCCTTGCTCGTCTCTGTTCTTTTGTTTCTAAAACCCCTTTTAAAGCTTTAAATGAAAGTTCTCAGGCCCCATGTTGGACACCATTTTGTTACGGCAGCCTGGACCCAGAGCCTCATCAGTCCCAAATAACACAGAGACGCTGTATTAGATATAAAGCTGTTGGCCTGTTACTAGCATTCCTTATTGGCTAGCTCTGTCTTAAATATTAACCCATTTCTATCAATCTAAGTATTTCCAGCTGGTCTTATCTTACCAGAGAATTGGGTTCAGACCTCTTCCTCTCTCAAGTCTCTACACCTTGAATCTCCCCGACTACATTTACCAGAATCCTCCTTGTCTCCTAGTCCCACTTATCTTGCCTTCCAATTTGCCAGCAGTACTTTATTCATATTTACAGAAGGACATTCCCCCCAACCATCTGGAAGCTGTTCCCAAACCCAACCCAATTGGAATTTGTTCACTCCAATCCATTATGGAATTCTGTACACAATGATAAATCCAACTGAGACACATATGCACACCACCCCACTGCTTTAATTCATTATTTTAATCCTACCTGCCTTTGACTTTTAGAGGCCCAGTACTGAAGCTCTGTAACTATCCTGCTCTATCTACACATTAATCAAAATGGCACAAGATGTGAATGGATTAAGTAACTTTATGTTCAAAGTCTCCAATAGCTTTCCACTGTCCTCAAAACCAAGGTCACTGACATTGCCCAGCATGTTCTCTGTTCACACTCTACCCCTCCTACTAGCCCCAACCACACTTAACCACTGTTCCATGAGGCTCTTGCGTCTCAGGCCACCTGCTGCTGTCTTGGCCACAGTCTTGCTAAGAGGCTCTCCTTGCCCTCCGGGTTCATGGAAGGTCTCCTGCTAACTTACTCCTTTGTCTTGCTGTCCCAGTTTTGTTTTGTTTTTTTTTTTTTTTTTTTTTTTTTTACATTCAGAGCACTTATCACAAGTGACAGTCAGCCTTTTGTGTGGCTACCGTTAAAGTCTGGGTCACCTGTGCACCACAGCCTTCTAAACAACAAGTTCCTTGTCTTTTATTTTAATTAGAAACAATCTTATTTTACATACCAGTCCCAGGTAAGTCCCCTGTCTCTTATTCATCTCTACTTCAGTGTTTACAACTGTGCCTTTCACCTGGCAAGTAGTGCTCAGTAAATAAATACAAGTGAGCATAAAAGTCATGATTCCTAAATGCTCACCATGGCATACAATGTGGATTTGCCACAACATTAACTAAGAAATCGCCAGGATAGCAAGGTGAACAAACTGACTATGAGAAATACATTATCACAGCTTATCGCTGAAACAAGCTAGGTAGACCTGAAAATGGGCCAGCCTGAAGTACCAGTAAGTCTTGATGGTCTCTGAGCACGATGATTTTAAAATTGTCTGCAGATCGGCATAGTTTCCCCATTAAAGTGCACTGATAAATGTTTGGCCATCTTCCATTGTGTATGAAGCTATCTAGAAAAGCACATTCATCACTGTTGCCCCCTAAAGTCTATCTCCTATGTTTCACTTGAATGTTTTTATGCAAAGTTGGAGCCACACAGTACTCTCCTGCATGCTGCTGCCCCTTCAGCCAACTGCATGACTTAAAGACCTTCCTGATGTGGGCCCCGCCTCTAACCTTTTCTGTATCTCCTTCACACAGTGCAGGCAAGAGAGATGGAAGTCCTAACAAGTGCTGGCTTACTAACCATCCAGAAGAAAGAATGAAGAGCTGGAGCTGGAGCTCAGTGGCAGAGTGCTTGCCTAGCTTGCACAAGCCCCAAGTTTGAGCCCCAGTACTACATGAACTGGGCATGGAGATGCAATCCTCTAATACTAGTGCTTGGGATGTGGAGGCAGGAGAATCAGCAAAAGCTCCAAGTTATCCTCAGCTACATACTGAGTTCTACACCAGCCTGGGCTACACGGGATTCTGACTGCAAACTAATTAAATAAAATAAAAAGAAGGAAATCATTCATCAATAAGTAAAGATTTTCTTAAAATAAATTCATTAGTGGATACTGGTTTTGCATCCAATTAATCAGCTAATGTTCTGTATTTAAACCATATCTTCAGCCAGGCATGGTGAAACATGCCTTTAATCCTAGCACTCAGGAAAGAGAAGCAGGCAGATCTCTTAGTTTGAGACTAGCCTGGACTACAAAGAGTTACAGGAAACCCTGTCTCAAAAAACAAAAAGCAAACATATCTTCCATAACTCAAACATACCTTACATACTGAGAAGGTACATTTGAAACTGCATATGAATGCACTGTATATATGAAATGAATGCATATTCTCCTTTCTTCTTTTTTTAAAAGGGAGGTGTTTTGGTGCTGGGGGCTAAAATGAACCCAGGTCCTCACACATGCAAAATTTCTTAGTAATTACATAATTGCCTTTACTATGAGCACATTATCAAAACTTTGGCAGAACTATTTGAGAACCTCCAAAGATTGGTGCTATCTGCTTTTCACCCTTTATTCTTGTTTTATATACCTGGATGCTAGGAGGTGAGAGATGGCTGCTCTTCCAGAGGACCTGGATTCAATTCCCAGAACCCAGATGGTAACTTACAACTATCTATAACTCTAGTCCCAGGAGATCCTAATAACCTCTCCCAGCCTCTTTGGGAACCAGGTGTGCATTTTGAACATTCAGTCTGATCTCTGTGGACCAGACTTAGCCAAATAAACACAGTATGCAGAATGTTTGACATTTTTTACATTAAAATTAATTTTCTTACTTACATGAACTCTTTTCTACCATTTAAGTGATGCCTCTGGCTGTCATGATAACAATGTTATGTCAGTTAACACTACCAAAATTGAATATGCAAGTAGGCTTGATTTATATAAGCTTACTCACTGCAAAATTAGGCATGATTCTGGGGAAAAAAGACATAACAAAGCTTAATGCACTCATGAATCACCATGGTAGCCAGTAAGAATTCATACTGGCTAATAGAAATGTGGACTTCTTATAAAAATTATATAAGTTGGAATCATGCTACAAATAATTCCAAAAAACAAAGCTCAAAGATAGGCTAATGATTACAGCATATATATATATATATATATATATATATATATATATATATTTATAAATTTGTAAATAGTTATAACCAAATATGAAGGTAAGTCAATAAAACTATTAGTAAATATTATCTCCAATAGCAGGCAACCTCTGACCCCATTAATGGTTAAGAAACTATAGAACAAAAAGACTACTTTCTGGATTGCTCACAAAATACCTGTTTTAAAAAAAGGAGTTCTTTGCATGCACACAGGTATAAACAAATAATAAATATTAATTATTAAATGTCTAATGTGATATACTAATAATCAATGGGCATTATGTACTTGCAGAGAAATGTGATGTAGAGAAAATTTTATGTTCACAGCAGGAAACTAATTCTCAAGAACTTTAGGAAGGAATGAAATTCATGCAAACTAAAATTGTGATAACCATAATGAACTTCATTTGAGGATTCTTCAGAAGTCACCACAAGTCCATTGTGCAGGATCTTAGTTAAATTAATACAGTAGTGAGGACATAAAATTAGTGTGCTGATTTTTGAAAACAATATCAAATGGTATATCTATCATTTTATAAAGACGGCTACATTTTTAAGCTATTAAAAAAATCTACCTTTAAAATGTCTTTACTGAAGATCACCCAGGAACTATTTACAACTAATTTTCCTAAATATTTTATCACAATTTAAAATAAACATAATCATATTTCTTCTTCTAAAAGATCAGTCATCAAATTTCTGAAATTTTCTCTCAATAGTGACAACATGCTACTGGGGGAAGAAAAATAAGAAACTTAAATCTTATTTCATACCAACTTACTCTGACTTTGGGTAAGACTCTCCGAAGTGTCTCAGTAGGATTCTGTCGCATCAAAAATGGAAGATTTGCAATCACACTTGTTCCTTGGATATCTTGACCAGCACTTATAAGGAAAATGCAAATTTTTAAATTTAAAATTAGAAGCTGAATTTTTAATTTCATGGGTTAATTTGAAAAAAATGACAGCTTTTAATGACTTTCTACAATGTTTTAAACACACCCTTGAGATACAAAAGTAAAACCAGATATAAAATTTTATTAAATAATCTTATAACAAATACATGGGGACATTTCAGTTATGTTGAAGAAAGATTTCCTGTTTACATACACGTCATAAAGTGTCAACAATCTTAATATTTTAAAATTCTACCACATTTTGCTCTGTGATCTGACAGTTTGCTACACTTTATAAAATCATATGATAATACAATATAGTAAAATAATAATTATAGCAACAACTAAAATAATCTAGGCAAAAACACAATGTTGAGTACATTGAAATGACTTGTAGAGATTGTCTTTGTGAGTTGCAAGAAACTTCTGAAAGATATACTCAAAGCTCTTACAGGGCATTTTATACTATGCCTTTTTGGTCTAGCATGCATTAAGGCTTTGTTCTCAAAAATAATCTCTGTGGTATCCTAAGTACTTTGAGGAATATTCAAATTCTTCTGGAAAGAACATTTCCATGAACTACAAATACTTCAAAATACAGCCTGAATGATACAAGTTTTGCAAGCATGTCAAGTACCAAAGGGAAATGCCACCTGTTCTAAACAGGTACTAAACACAATGAATGCTTATGGCATAACATTTATTTATTTATTCATTTATTTATTTACATAGTTTTAATAAATTAAAATTATTTTTACTTTCTTCAAATAGAACTGTGGTCCTCTGAAGAAGAATACATGGTCCCTAGTTGGTAGAACTGTGGCCTTGTTGGAGAAGGCATGTCACTGGAGGTGGGCTTTGAAGTCTCAAAAGAGCCATTCTGAGTCTCCTTCTCTGCCCTAAGGTTGTGTTTCAACATGTAGGCTCTCAGCGACTGCTCCAGCACCTGCCTGCCTGCCTACTGCTGTGCTCCCCACCATGATGGTCCTGGACTCTAATACTCTGAAACTTTAAGAGCCCAGTAAACTCCTTCTTTTATAGAGTTTTATGATAGCAACAGAAAAGTAACTATGACAAGAATTATTCATAGTTTTATGAAATGTACATAGCTTTAAATATAAGTTCTTCAATTTTTTTAAGTAATATGTTTGTTTCTTCAGAATTGTGTAGGGTTTTTTTTTCAGTCATAAAAAGTATGATCTAGTTGTAAATGAAGCTGTCCTACTACATAGCAAGTATTGACCTATTACAGTACAGCAAAATATGGAATACAGGGTATCACAATCATTTCACTGTTCTTACCTTTTCAAGAAAAATGAAGAAATAAAGGAGAATGGCATGAACTAGGGGACTATGCTAATCTAAAAAAAATGGTCAAAAGGTGAAAACTAAAGTTGTCAAAAAAATTACTTGTCATAGGTTGAAAGGTAACCCCTAAAATATATCTACAGCCCAATCCTGAAATGCTAGGGTATTCTTAATTTTCAGAAGGATACTGAGATGAAGAGATCATTCTAGATTATCTGCTAAGAGAGCCAAAACTGGGTGCACCTCTAGAGTTACACTGATTTCTTGATTTGCGGCTTCTGATCTACAGAACTATGAAAATAATATTTCTTGTTACCCAGTTTGTGGTAATGTGTTACATCAGCAACATAAACAAATGTACTACCGTTATGATTTAAATATGAGTATAGGCTCATGTATTTGAACACTTGGACCTCAAAAAGCAAAACATCCAATGTCCAACACTACAAAAAGGTAACAAAAAAGGCTCTAAAACCCTGCAAATAGGAAGATATCCTGAACCAGACCTTCAGGGTTTAAAGATTATAATTCAATTCTCTCTCTCTCTCTCTCTCTCTCTCTCTCTCTCTCTCTCTCTCTCTCTCTCTCTCTCTTTCTCTCTCTCGTGTGTGTGTGTGTGTGTGTGTGTGTGTGTGTGTGTGTGTGTTTAAAGAGAAAGTAAGGCAAAGACTAATAGTCCTTATCACAAAAGGCAGTGCCCACAAGACATAATTATAACCTACTATTTCTCTACAAAAGAAAATTAAGAAAATGCCTATGGCACAAAAACATCACAGTCACCATTAATAATCAAAATGTAAAATTGAGGCAACAGAACTCAGCAGGAAGTTGGAAATGATTCAACTATAAAAGAGGTGAATGAAGAGAAAAGAAGAGAAATTTTAAATGTAAAAATAAAAGATTTAAAAGTAAAAAGGATATGAGAAAATGTAATACACAAAAGGACAAAAATAAAATACGCTGTTGGAAGGAATTCCAAGATGAAAACCCAGCAAGGAATTTCATTTAAGTTAAAAATATTTTTAAAATTGGCTATGGTAGTTTGAACAAGAATGGCCCCCACAGGTTCATATATTTGAATGCTTAGTCACCAGGAAGTGGGATTATTTGAAAAGATTGGAAGGATTAGGAGGTGTGGCCTTGTTGGAAGTGTGTCACTGGGGGTGGGCTTTGAGGTTTCAAAAGCCCATGCTCTCTGCCATAATGATAATGAACTAATCCTCCAAAACTGTAAGCCAGCCCTGAATTAAATATTTTCCTTTATAAGAGTTGCCTTGATCGTGGTGTCTCTTCACAACAACAGAACACTGACTAAGACACAGGCCCTGGACATAGCTAAGACTGGCCCCATTAACAAAGAATATGGGTGAGGAGGGGCTCAAAGGACCCCACCACTTACTGATAAACTACTGGCAACTAAAATTCTGAGAGGAGGGAGCCACAGTATCCAGTTGTCTGACCACTTTTGAGCCTAGGCGACTCTGGAGAATAGTTCAATCCCATTGTCAAACAGACTGGACAAGTTAAACTCAGTGGGGACACAAACAAAAAGTCATGAATATGGAAAACATTTGTATGAAGAAGAGAGGGAGGAAGGAGGAGAGGGTGAGTAATCAGAGTACACTGTATGTACACATGTATGAAATGGTCAAATAAAACTTTTTTTAAAGGCTGACAAAATGGCTCAGCAGATAAAGGCAATTACCTCTAAGCTAGACAACCTGAGTTCAATTCCTGGAACCTATATACAGGTGAAAGGAAAAAAAAAAAAAAAAACTAACTCCACAAGGTTGTCCTCTGGCCTCCACATACATGCCATGGCCAAAAGAAAAAGAAAAAGAAAAAATTAGTAAATACTTAAGGGCTGCAGAGATGGCCCTTGGTTAACAGCACTTGCCACTCTTGCAGAGGACCCAGGTAAAGTTCCCAACACCTACATGGTGACTCATTTCCATTAACAACTCCAGTTTTAAGGAATCTGATGCCCTCTTCTGACCTTCACAGGCATCAAGGACACAAGTAGTGCACAGACACACCCACACTCCCACAGGTAAAAAACCCATACATATAAATTTAAAATATTTTTTATAAATTAAAAAAAAATGAAAGACCATACCATAGTCCCAAGAAATCAATATAGTGCAACCACCACTTAGATAAGCTGTTGCCCTTTAACAACAGAAAATCATGCCATCCCTGATTCTGATAGCAGTGTGATATTAACAAAGCAATAATGTTACTATACATAAGATGTAAACAGGAAAAAAATAAAGTGAACCTAGTTCTCACATTTGTTAACAAACACAAAAACTAAATTTCTATAATCAATCAATACCTGGCTCTTCTGCTGTCAGGAAGAAAATAAGATGTACCATGCATAACATAGTTGGCATCATCAGTTAATTAGGAACTAAGTTATCCAGTGGTTCAGCTGTTAGCGAACTCCCCCTCTCCTACCCATCTGCTTGGGGTCCATAAGACAGCGTTTAAAGACATCTTTCACCATCACTATATACTGTTACCCAGCAGGTAGAACCCAGGACGCTGCTAAGCATCCTACAGTGTGTAGGACAGCTCCCCACAATAAAGAATATCCATGCCTCAACAACAACAAAAACCCAAGAAACTCTGGCTTAGGCAAAGCAACTATTACCTAATGATGTGAAAAGCAGTGTTAGATAACAGCTTAGCTACAATAGTTATTTCAAATTTTCAGCTAATGTTCAGTTTAGCAGAAATACACTGGTCCTGACTTCAACAAAATATATGCAGGCTGCTAAGCACAGCTTGCTAGAGAAGTAGCCCTCAAACTTAACATGTTTTAGAATGAGATAAAACTGAGAATCAGGTAAAACTGAGCCCAACTCCAGGATACTCTAGTTTCTAGCCTAAGCACCTGATTTGTCACAGGCACCCAATGATACTGCTGCTGTGATCTGGACCATGCATTAGGAGCCACCATGGTAGATGACTTTTTAATAATGAAAAAATAATTTTAGAAAATGTATTGGTTGATTTTTTGTCAACTACACAAACTAGAGTTGTCTGAAAAGGGACCTTACATGAGAAAATGCCTCCATCAGGTTGCCTGTAGGCAATTCTGTGGGACATTTTCTTGTCAGATATAAGAGGGTCCAGCTCACTGGAAAGAGCCGCCCCTGGGCAGGCTGGGGAAGCCATGAGGAGTAAGCCAGTAAGCAGCAAACCTCCATAGCCTCTGCTTCAGTCTCTGCCTCCATGGTCCTGCCCTGACTTCTCTTTAAGGTGGACTATAAGCTGTAAGATTAAATAACCTCTTCCTTCCCAAGTTGATTTTGGCTATGGTGATTCTCACAGCAATAAAAGGCAACCTAGGACAGACACAAAGGAAGAAAGAGAGCCTGCAGAGTCACCACAACTTGTAGACTGAGTGGAATGAGCCACAATCACAGCAGCGGTTTGCACAAATGAAGCAGCCTACCGAATACATGCTCCCTTCTTCATCCATCCTCACAGTACTGCTGTTATAACATGGATAGCACCAAAAGCAGTATAGGTGGAACGATCTATAGCCTGTGCCCTAACTAGTTTTATATCAACTTGACACAGCTGTAGTCATCAGAGGAATCTCAATTGAGAAGAGTGGGCTGTAGGCAAGCCTTTGGAGCATTTTTTTAAATTAGTGATTGATGCACAAGGGGC